AAACAGAGTTAATACACCTGCATAAGACATCATTATGATCCATAAATATGGTCAAAATATGGTGTTATCAAACATACTCAGATCAAGGCAGGAACAAATTCTAAAAATCGCAGGAACTAAAAAATATTCTCTGTGACCGTCCTTCTAAACCATAACTTATCGTGGAACATCTATTTGGATCTAGTCTAAAAAATTCTGACCAAAATACAAGCAAAACTAGTCTGTTAATCCGTCATGCAAAAATCTACACACTTGGACCTAACTTCCAGTCAACTAGCTTTCTACATTCATCAAGTGTAATATTGAATTCTTATCAATGACATTATTCAGGGTAGATGGGCTTGCGGGCCTAGGGTTTTTTTGTTTTTACAAGCCCGTTGGTCCTCCAGAAGTTTTATATTTATAAAATCCTAGTGTCTGCAAGTGCACATATGTACGTTGTAGGACTTAGAGTGTCGATCCACAGGGAGGATGTCTAATATGCGAGAAACAACAAATTGGGAAGTAAGAAAATTCATAAACCAATAAAAGTTTTGGGGTTTTTGGTTAAGATCCTAAACTAAACATAATCTAGTATTCACAAGAAATGCAATGCAAGATGAATTGTTAAAAGAACATCTAAAGCATATCGACTCAAACTAAAGACTCTTAAACTCATAGGTGGCGATTTAGACTTCTCTGGGTTACTCTAATCGATGTATGATGGCATTTCCAATTAGCTTCCGGGTGATTTATCTTCATCTGTTTCTGGGGATCTGCATTGAACTAGAATAGACGTATGTATGATTAACCAACTGTCGTCACCTTAATCAACTAATCTCTTAGATCTAGGAATTAACTCTCGCTCTCATGCTAAAGTTAAGATCATGCATTGGACATTGAATTCGTCTGCTGACATCTTCTCTATAGGTAGCTCTCGACTACTATAGCGACTATGTTCTTCTGAAGCTAGGTATGGATGATCTGATACAGCACTCTCGTGGCTCTGATTGATCCTAGGCTTAGAGAATATGTCATGAATCTACTCTCATGCTTTACGAACAACTTAGAAGAGATGAGATCCAGAATATGGCTAAGAACAATAGAAATACTAATCGATATATATATATATATATATATATATATATATATATATATATATATATATGCTTGTCGATATCTTCAAACAACTTGACTCTCTAGGACTAATCTACATGATGCAATGAATGATAAAAGACATAGAAGAATGCAAAAGAATGAAACAGAAAAGTTAATAAGATAAAAAGGAGGAAGAACAATGGATCTGTGGAAGAATCCCCATCTCAATCGCCTAACCCTAGAAAAACAGAGTTTGGTGGCTCAAAATCTCATTACAGGAGTACACACCCGTTTAGGGCTGTTAAACAATGTATTTATACGTCCTAAGGTCTTCCAGGTCTCATTTAGGGCTTCTTTGAAGAGAAATGGCGAAGTGGGCTTTGATGTTGGGCCTTGTGGCTCGTCCTAAGGTCTACCGGGGGTGAGAGTTTTCCAGGGCAGGTAAAACATGTGTTTCCCGCGGGTGAGAGTCTTCCGGAACTGGTGAACTGGGTCAACTTGTTCTCCATGTATCTTTTGATTGCACTGTTAGATTTTTGTGATGTAAAGTGCTATGGAAAGCTGGTTGTTTTCTCTTGATTGTCTCCAAATTTGAGCTGGATCAGACGGTGAGAAATTCTTCATTTGAGGCTGAACTTCTGACGGTCTGACTCTGAGCTAAAAATGTGGATTTCTTCCATTTTGCCATCATATTCCATAAGTTTACTGAAAAGAGCCTTGAAACTACAAATACATGAAAATCATAATAAAAGTTCATAAAAAAAAGTAAAACCTTTGAAAAAGCATTTGATATCAATGGTGAAAAGTGGTCAAAATCAGGTGTTATCAACTCCCCCAGACTTAAGACTTTGTTTGTCCTCAAACAAAACAAGATCAAATCTGGAAAAATATCATGCAACAAAAATGAGAAGGAAATCAAAAATATCAGCAATCATACTTCTAGACCTTAATTATGGACAATGCATTAATCAGGTCAAGTCTAGAAAATTCTCACCAAAATACAGACATAACTAATCCGTTAATCCGTCATGCGAAAATCCACACACTTAGAACTAACTTCCAGTCAACAAGCTCTTAACATTCATTAAAGGTTTCAGTGGTTCTCATCAAAAGGATATTAAATAAGGCATTCAAGGTTATGTATCAAAAAGGCTTTTTAATGGTAAGGCTGATGTGTTTAGGGTTACCTTTTTCTGGAGAGACATGACATTATGCAAAACAGCAAGAGAGGATGGAACTGTAAATGCCCCCACAGTTTCAGTCACACTCTTCTTGCTTCAAGATTTCCGATCTCCTTTCTTCATGTTCTCTTTATAATTCCCCCAGACTTGGATTTTTGTCCAGGTTGTGAATCCATAACTCCTTAAGTGAATATCTATTGCCTTGGCTCAAATAATTTCGGCTTCTAAGACTCTTTTAGGCTTTTAGTTTCCTTTCCTTTCTTTATTTTTCTCTTTTTTCGTTTTTTTTTCAAAAGGGGAAACTGCCTTTTGACTTGGAGTCTTAGGGAGCACGAAAATTACCTTTAAGAATGATCTTTTCTGAGGCATCATAAGATTTCTGGCACACTCCCTTCTGGTCTCTTTCAGTCTTTCTCTTGAGTGACTGAAAACTGTGTTGTTCCTCCCTCTCCGGCGTTTTTGCACATATCTGTCGATATAAACTTAAGAGAGAATGCATGAGGTTTGAAGATGTCCTAGATGTATGTCATGATGCCTTCTTTTAAAACCATTGATGAGAAAATTAGATGTCAAGATTAAATTCAAGTAAAGTGAGCTAGTATATCCTGTCAGAAAAGATCTTCATGAATAGAAGTCCTCTGGTGGGATTTCGTAGTGTAAGTACTCAGCTACCGCATAGTCTAGTACTAAACATTGAAAGAGATTTTATGAGTGATTGGTGTAGAAGCAAACATGTTGGTTATCATCATCGATTTTGTCATTATTCCCTCAAAATGTATTTGACATTTAAAAATACTTTTTGAAACTCAAAAGACTTTGAAAAGGATTTAATAAAAATCAAAAAATTTGAAAAACTTTTAAAGAAAATGCAGAATGCAAAGACTCATGCAAGAAAAGGTGGTTAGAAAGGGATGAAATCCTCCCCCAGACTTAAATCAGATTGCCCCCAGTGTGAAATAAATCAGGCAAGGATGAGAAATAGAGTATGTAAAAATTAAAAAGATTGGGAAAAGAAAACTTACCTGGTGGTAGTGATGCTTGATCAAACTTGGATGCTAGGGATCCAAAACTGATTTGGTCAAGGTGGTGGTGGAAGTGGCCAAGGATGAAATGGAGGTGGCCAAGGTGGAACAGATGTGGCTAAGGGTGGATGGAAGTGGCCAAGGTGGTCGGCTGTGCTGGCCGTGGGTCGGAGCATTGCGGCCGGAGTGGGACGCGTGCCGGCCGCGGGCCAGACCTTCTTGGCCGCGGTAAAACATCTGTTGGCCGCGGCTGAACCTCCTGTTGGGGTCGGTTTCACCCCAAGTGGACAAAACCATCTTCATAGCGACTAAGTGTTCGGGAGAGCCGAGCTATATCGAAGAAGTGCGAAAGTAGGCTGAATCCATGAAAGAAAGGAGAGTTGGGACGAGCCGTCCCATGACTTTGGGTGTAGCTTGGGCCGAGCTGTGAGGGAGAATTGAGGGGACCGAGCTACGTGACAGATAGTCAAATGGGTCGAGCCATACATAAGTGAAGATGGGCCGAGCCGTGGGAGAAGGAGAGAGGACCGAGCCGTTAACTCTCGCGATTGGGCGAGCCGTTATTTGTCGCAAGTGGGCCGAGCCAATCTTTCCAAGATGGGCCGAACCGAAGTCTCGAAGGGAGAAAGCCCATGAAAACCCTAGGCGATGCCTTGAGGCGGTGGCCGCACGAAGTGATAAGGAAATATTCCTAAAATCTCTCCCGAGATTCTCGGCTAGGCGGTTTAAGGAGTTAGTATAAATAGGAGATTTACACAATTTATTTTGTAACTTTTCACAACCCTAAGCAATAAAGACTAAACACTTTCGCAGCAATAATAACCTTCTTTCGATCTTACTGTTCTTGCGATAAACCCTAGAAGTTTCCGATCCCTTAAGTTTTCCTTAACAAATTCTTGGTTGTGCGAGTTTTGGCTCACACAATTTGGCGCCGTCTGTGGGGAATCGAAACTTTCTTACTCTAAATCGACGAGACTTTAAGATCCGAAGAACATGGCGAGCAACATCCTCGACGATAACAACAACAACAACGATAACGGCGCGGAGAAGGACGCTCCAGTATCAGGCACAACGACGGCGACGACCAAAACCCAAGAGGAGATGCGAAACATGATGGCTGCGTTGATGAAGAAGATCGATGAGCAGGACAAAAGAAATGAGGCAATTACAGAGAGGCTCGACGCGATGGCGGCCGAGCAACGACACCCAACTTGGAGAGCCGGAATCTCTGACCCGATAGGTGGAATCCGCAGACGCTTCGATTTCTCAACGCCTGCAGAGGCCTTGGGAAGCGGCGCAAGAAATCCCTTGGCTCCGCCAATGTTCCATCCTCTCGGCGAACAGACTCCCGCGGCAACCCGAGTCAACATGACCGAGCCGCCCCACTCCGTCGGAACTCAAGGCGACGAGCCGGCGAAGAGGAGAATGACGCAATCGACCTGGATGCCCAACAGAACGATGGAACCACAAACTCGCAACAAAACGGCTCGGCTCGGCGAATAAGCCAAGAAGAGCTCACCTCGGCACTAAACGGCGTCCGGACTGACGAAATCACCGACCAGGCTCGCGGCGACAACCCGACTGAGGAAGAAGAAAACCTCTAATGGATCGAGCAGGCGGAACGCGAAGACGAGCCGAGGAGAGAAGAGCGGGAGCGACTCCCCTAATTGAAGGGAATGACTCACGCACAAACCCTCGAAATTAAAAAGCTGCGAGCCCAATGGCTCGGACAGTCGCCGAGATACGCGCCATGAAGTCTCAAGTGCATAACGCGACGAGTGATGCGCCCGAGATCGATCAGATGCTTGAAGAAACCCAAAGAACACCATTCACGGCGAGAATCACGGAGGCTAGGATTCCCGAGCTGGAGAAGGTGAGAATCCCATTTTACGAAGGAACGACCGATCCGAAAGCGCACATCACAACGTTTCGGATAGCAATGGGATGAGCTTTCACGAAGAACGCCACCAAACTGACAGAGCGGGAAGTAGATGCTGGATATTGTTTACTCTTCGTGGAACATCTCAAGGGGGCCGCGCTCGAGTGGTTTTCAAGGCAGGAGCGCAATTCAATCGGCTGTTTCCAAGAGCTCTTCGCCTTGTTCCTTAAACAATACTCAATGTTTAAGGACAGAGGAACTTCTGATGCCGACATGTGGACGCTATCCCAAGGACCGAATGAACCGCTTCGGGATTACATGGCAGGGTTCAAGGCGGTCGTATCCAAAATAGAAGGAATAAGCGACAAGGCTGCACTCGAAGCTCTAAAATGGTCTTTATGGTACAAATCCGAATTCCGACGGGAAATGGCACTCAACACACCACAAGATGCCTTGCATCGGTCATCAGACTTCGTCGTAAACGAGGAAGAGATGAAGAATCTGGACGAACAGTACGAAGCAACGAAAGCAGCAATTCGAAGCTCGATTTTGACGCGCCCTTCGAAGAAAGGCAATCCATCAAACAATGCAACAACGCAGAGCTCGGACGAACCTAGAAGCGGAGGTGCCCACAACTACCAAGTAGGCACTGGACTCGGAAGAGGAGAGCCGCACAACAACACCTGGGTAAGAAAATCCACCAACTACGACGAAAAGGCATTCTGCGAGTATCATCAGACCTACGGGCATTCAACGGCACAATGCCAAACCCTAGGAGCAAAACTCTCAGCTAAGATGGCAGCGGGAGAGCTCCAGAATGCGGTTAACCTCAAAGACCTCGTCCTTAATGAACCAAAAGAAGGAGCCAATCCGTCTTGCGCGGCAGAACCCGCAAATCCTCCCCGACGAGGCGATAACTCCAAGCGCGACAGGAGAGGCGAACCCGAAGAGCGACCTGAGCCGAGGCAAAGGATCAACATGATCATGGGTGGATCTCAATATTACCAAGACACGGTGTCCTCCATCAAAGCTTACCAGCGCCAAGCCGAAGCGAAGGAAAGTTGGACAGAACCGACCGATCTCCTGAATACAGTAATCTCCTTTGCCGAGGAGGAAACGACAGGAATCGATAGACCACACAACGATCCACTGGTGATCGAATTGACGATCAGGGATCACGATGTAGCGAGGGTGCTCATCGTTACTAGGAGCTCGATAAACGTCATTTTCAGGGAAACGCTCAGAAGGATGGGAATCGATCTCTCCGAGGTGACGGCAATCCCCAAACCCCTAACCGGATTTTCAGGAGAAACAACGATGACCATGAAAACAATTAGGCTCCCTGTGGTAGCTGGCGGAGTCACTAAGATCGTCCAATTCTGCGTCACCGATCATCCAGCAATCTACAATGTGATTATGGGAACTCCATGGATCAACGGGATGAGGGCGGTCCCTTCCACCTATCATCTCTGCCTCGAATTCCCGACTCCAGCAGGCATCAAAACGATCTGGGGAAATCAGAAGGAGTCGCGAATGTGCTGCTTAGCGGAGCACAAGCTGAGGAATCCCGTCACCGACGCACGAGCAGACATAGATCGCAAAAAGATGAAGACGGATCGAGAGCCTGCGAACGAGCTCTCGAAACTCTTATAGCAATTACAGATCACGGAGAGGCGCGAAACGTGCGACTAGCCGGTATGTGATGCAGTGGACTCGGTGTGCATAGACGAAGCGCGTCCAGAACGATGCGTCGAAATCGGAGGAAAACTAGAAGAACCTCTGAGAAGAAAACTTCTTTCTCTCCTCAAAGAGAACATCAACACTTTTGCCTGGACAGCAGAAGATATGTCAGGCATAAGCATCGACGTGGCCTGTCACGAGCTGAACGTGGACCCTACCTTCAAACCAATCAAGCAGAAAAGAAGGAAGCTCGGACCCGAACGAGCTAAAGCAGTTAACGACGAAGTGGAGAGATTGATCAAAGTAGGATTAATCCCTGAGGCCAAATATCCAGACTGGCTCGCGAATCTAGTGGTTGTGAAGAAGAAGAACGGCAAGTGGCGGGTCTGTGTAGATTTCACTGATCTCAACAAGGCGTGCCCAAAAGACAGTTTCCCCCTGCCGCACATCGACCGGCTCGTCGAAGCCACTGCGGGAAATAGGTTGTTAACATTTATGGACGCGTTCTCCGGATACAACCAAATCCTGATGCATCCCGATGATCGGGAAAAAACGGCATTCATAACTGATCGCGGGATATACTGCTACAAAGTCATGCCGTTCGGGCTCAAGAATGCAGGAGCAACATATCAACGGCTCGTCAATAAAATGTTCGCAGCTCAGCTCGGAAAAATCATGGAGGTATACATCGATGATATGTTAGTCAAATCACTCGAAGAGAAAGACCATATCACGCATCTACGCGAATGCTTCGAGCAGTTGAACAAACACAACATGAAGCTAAACCCGGCGAAGTGTAGGTTCGCGGTCACCTCGGAGAGTTTCTCGGCTATCTGGTAACTCACCGAGGCATTGAAGCGAATCCCAAGCAGATCAAAGCATTGATCGAGATGCCCTCTCCAAGGACGAAGCGAGAAGTGCAAAGGCTTACAGGAAGGGTCGCAGCGCTAAACAGGTTTATTTCCCGTTCCACCGACAAGTGCCTGTCTTTCTACGACACCCTTCGGGGAAATAAGAAATTCGAGTGGGACGAGCGATGCGAAGCAGCTTCCCACGAATTGAAGAGTTATCTGGCGAGCCCGCCGATCTTGGCAAAACCAGTTGAAGGAGAGCCTTTCTTCCTCTACATCGCCGTATCTGCTACAGCCGTGAGTGGGGTGCTTATCAGAGAAGAATGGTCCGAGCAAAAACCCATTTTCTAAGTTAGCCAGATACTGACTGACGCCGAGACCCACTACCCCCAGATTGAGAAAGTCGCCCTAGCCGTCGTAGTCTCGGCTCGCAAGCTGCGTCCGTATTTTCAATCATATTCGATTGTTGTGCTCGCCACACTTCTGCTGCGCTCGATCTTACACAGCCCGAGCCAATCCGGTCGGCTCGCCAAGTGGGCCATAGAGTTGAGCGAGTACGACATCGAGTATCGGAATAGGTCGTCTGCAAAGTCACAGGTGCTCGCAGATTTTCTCATCGAACTTTCAGCCGAAGTGACGAACGAGCCAACCCTAGACGAAGCATGGACGCTGCACGTCGACGGCTCGTCGTCTAAACACGGCTCGGGAATAGGAATCAATCTCACCTCTCCCACCGGAGAAATATTGGAGCAGTCTTTTCGCCTGAACTTCTACGCCTCAAACAACGAAGCAGAATACGAAGCACTGATCACCGACATACAACTAGCGCAGGGAATCGGAGTTCGAAGGATAAGAACATTTTGCGATTCACAGCTCGTAGCATGTCGATTCAACAGAGAATACGAGGCGAAGGACAGACGGATGGGAGCTTACCTCAAGGTGGTCCGAGAGTTGGTGCAAAAGTTCGACGAGTTCGAGCTCACACGAATACCCCGAGGTGAAAACACCTCGGCCGACGCCTTGGCAGCACTTGCTTCGACTTCAGACCCGGATCTCCGACGGACAATTCCAGTCGAATTCATCGAACGTCCTAGCATCGAAGAGGTAGAAGGAGTTCGGCTGATAAATCCTCCTGAGCAGGAACCAGAAAACGACGAAGCAGTCGCTATGGATGAAGACGCCTCGCCAACCAAGCTGGAGTACGGCTGCGACAAAGAATGGCTCGGAGCCATCCGAGTGTATATCGCCGATGGAGAAGTACCAATCGATAAATGGGAAGCTCGCAAATTGAAAGCTCAGGCCGCGCGGTATGTCCTCGTCGACGGCGAGGTGTTTAAATGGAGATTTTCAGGACCACTCATGACATGCGTCAAAGGACCGGAGGCCAGAAAGATCATGCACGAAGTGCATAGCGGCGCGTGCGAAAACCATTCAAGCGGAAGGTCGCTCGCGATCAAGATAAAACGGCACGGTTACTTCTGGCCTACGATGGTCAAGGACAACGAGAAGTTTACGGCGAAGTGCGAGAAGTGTCAACGGCATGCGCCAACTATTCACCAACCTACCGAGCTGCTGTCATCAATCTCGTCGTCTTATCCTTTCATGAGATGGTCAATGGATATTGTCGGACCTCTACATCGATCAAAGCAAAAGCGTTTTCTGCTCGTCCTCACGGATTATTTTTCCAAGTGGGTCGAGGCCGATTCTTACGCGAGCATAAAGGATGCTCAAGTCAAACACTTCGTCTGGAAAAATATCATCTGCAGAAACAGGGTCCCCTACGAGATAGTCACCGATAACGGATCCTAGTTCATCTCAACGCGTTTCGAAGCTTTCTGCGAGAAATGGAAAATCCGTTTGAGCAAATCCACGCCAAGATATCCTCAGGGGAACGAACAAGCCGAAGCAGCCAACAAGACGATCCTAAATGGTCTGAAAAAGAGGCTCGGCGCCAAGAAAGGACGATGGGCAGATGAGCTCGAAGGAGTCCTTTGGTCGCATCGGACAACTCACGCGAGCCACCGGTGAAACTCCATTCGCTCTAGTTTATGGAGCAGAATGCGTAATCCCAGGTATTCGACAAAGACTTCTGCCGGGACAAGAAGGCTTGAATCACTTAATGATGATGGACGAAATCGATTTGGTCAACGAAAGGCGCGACCAGGCTCTAATCCGAATTCAGAACTACCAACAAGCAACGGCGACATACTACAACAAAAATGTCCGCAGTCGAAGATTTAAAGAAGGAGAGCTCGTCCTTCGAAAAGTTTTCCAAAACACTGCCGAGAAGAATGCAGGAAAGCTCGGAGCAAATTGGGAAGGTCTACAAAAGTAGTTCGCCCAGGAGTCTACGAACTCGCGACGGTAGCTGACGAAGTAATTCCAAGATCGTGGAATGCAATGCACCTTAAGAAGTATTATCACTAAAGCTACAACACGGTCAACATGAACTACGGGACGGCTTGGTAGCTGCAAAGGGTACGTAGGCAGCCCGTCCTCGAACTGGTTCAGCTGTCTCCCTCCTAAAAAGGGGGGGGGGGTGGGTACGTATACACATACCTTCATTTAACTCTACAATTCTAGCTCGTCTACCGTCTCTAGGAACATTGCCACTTCGGCCAATTTTCAGTTCGTTTTAAATCATCTACTTATTTCATGTTCACCTCAGAATTCTAGTTCGTTCATTTTCGCTTCGGCTAGTTTCTCATTCGTTTTAAATCAGCTACTTATTTCGTGTTCACCTTGGATTCTTAATTCGTTCATCACCTCGGCGAGATATTATCACTTGATCGCCTCGGACTTTTACTTGTCCTTGTATTCACTTCGGCAAACTAAGTCTCCAAATGCCTCGTCTCGTTGCTGGCCACAACGGGACAACAAATACAAAGTTCTCTAAACGGACTTTCACCACCTTTCCTAGGACGAGGGTGCAAGTTACATCCTATCGGTCGCCACAGTTCACTATCGCACACGAAATTATAAGTCGAGACTACATCGCTTTCTCTAAAACCAAAGTAAACTCTTAAAACCCGGCAAAATACAACCTCTCGGGAACGCCGGTCTATAATCATATTCCAAAGAGAACACTATATCCTCTTGAACTTTCGCCTCGTCAATGAGAAACTCTGAGCGAACGCCTCGGCAGGAAAATACAAACTCAAGCTGAATACTTTAGCTGCAACGCCCGAATTTTCCTCACGAACGATTAACCTCTCAAAGAGAATAATAACTTACTTGAAAACACATAACTTACTAGAAAAATACTTCGGCACTAGTCGGAGACTCTTTCGTAGAAATTTCTAAAACAGCCCACCTCTCTCAGTGATAGAAAGTATAAATCTCAATGAAAGTCCCGAAGTCATCTTTGGTCAATAAAGAACAAAACGCCTCGTCTTTATACACGGCTCGGCATCATATAATGAAAACGCCTCGTCGTCAAACACGGCTCGGCATTTCCAATGAAAGTTGCCTCGATATTATTGCTAAACATGCCTTGGCGTCACCTAAAATGGAGACGCTTGATAACACCGTATTTTGACCACTTTTATGAATCGTTTTGAAATACTTTTTCTATGTTTTTAATTGCTTTTAAGTACTTTTATCACGTTTTTCTAGTATTTGTAGTTCCAAGACTCTTTTCAGGTAACTTAGGGAAAAGCTTAACAAAATGGATAGAAAACCAGATTTCAGCTCAGAGTCAAACCGTCAGAAGTTCACCCCTAATTGAAGGCCTTCTCACCGTCTGATCCAGCTCAAATTTGGAGACCTTAAAGATGGAAGTATCAGCTTTCCAGCACACTTTACAGCTTGGCAATCCAACGGTTCAATCAAAAGATACGCGAAGAGCAAGATGTCTCGTAAACCAGCCGGCAAGCAACTCCACCCGCGGCCAACAGGCCATTTCCCGTGGTCAGAAGCATCCCGACCACGGCAAACCACTCATTCTCCGCGGTCACAGCACTCCCGACCGCGGCAAGCCAACTCCGAGCCCAAAAGCCCATTTCTGAAGCCCACAATGATTCCCTCATTTGGAGAAACCCTAAGTGACGTCCAGAGCACTATAAATACATGTTTTAGGAACCCTAATCGATGATACATCATAGACCACCGAATTTTTACTTCATACTTTTATTGTTTTTGCTTTAGCTTTTAGGGAGAGAGAGATTTGTTCTCTTGAACCCTTGTTCTTTTTTTTTCAATTTCGGTTTCTATTCTACTTATTAATACTATGTTTTTGATTCCGTTCATTATGTCTGAGTAGTTTTATTGTTGGGATTAATGGATTTTCGATGGGGATTTATATGTTCGATGAGGATTCCATGAGCTTTTGAGCCGAATCTTAGAACTTTTTCTTCTGAATTCGTTTTTACTGCATGAGAGTAGCGTCATGAACTACAATCTGATCCAGATGCTTGGTGACACGAAAGTGTTCATCAGGTATCAGATCTAGTTTGGGAGAGCAAAACAAACATAGGAGTGGAAACCTACCTATGGGCGATTTGTGAATGCTGACGAGTCTTAAACATAATGCATCTCTTCTCTTCCACGGCCAGAGTGGAAACCTACTGGTCAGGGTTGAGAGAGATAGTTGTCTATGATCACGACAGTGGCGTATTCATACGTCCATGACTCCAGTTCGAAAATTTTAAGCTAAGATCTTATCAAATTTATTCTCTAGCAATGTTTTGAATCGTTCGTACCCCTGAGAAAACTTCCCTGAACCCCAACGCCTTCTTTCCTATTGATTTACACCGTTTTTATTTCAAGCTTTAGTTCAATATTGTCTTTCCTTTTTAGTAGATTTTCATTTAAGCAATTAGAATATCCGTTTTCTCATTTTTATTCATTTCCGTTAAGTTAAGTTATTAGGACATTTAATTCCCGTATTCTCTTTTAAGATTTCGTTTTTACATTTTAAACACACCACCAAAACCCCCACAAAACCGTTTGGTTCTAGACTTCCTTACTTTATATTTCTTTCAAAGGCTTTTGCAGGAAAAGATCCTCCTTCCCTGTGGATTCGATCCCTAAGTACTACAATCGATCAGCTGTGCACTTGCGGCTATTGATTTCATTTAGGGTAAAACTTGACAACCCTCACTCACCAGCACACATCAACGCTCCACGAATCAACTCCCAGCTCGGGATCTAGACTTAAACAGAATCCTTAGCCCGATCTTATATCGATCTATCGTAAACGGTTCGGCCAGGAAAGCAGTCGAGACCATTCTCGACACAGCTCGACAAGCCAATCAACGACAATTCTTTCCAAACAAATAGTTTTCGTAAAAATTTCACAGGTCGTCAAGGATAAACACATCAAATCCAAAAACGACTAAGGAAAAGATAAATATAACCGAAAGCAAAATCAACAGTCAGGTGGATAAAGCCATCCAGGCATCGGTTACACAAGAAGTTCGAGAAACAGATAAAGTCATCCGAATCTTAAGTACAAAAACATATGAGACGAAAGATAGGGGAAAGCGTTGAGGATCAAGCCGCGGACTGCGTTTCACGCTCGGCAAGGAGGTTTGAGAGGGCCGGCATACCCGCATTCGATCCGGTCGGATCTACAACGCCCAAGTTGGCTGCTGTCTCTTCGAGCGGCTCGTTACCAAGGCTGGTGTCTACAGAATCCGGCGATACAGGCGAGAAGACTACCTCACCTCGGATCTCGGAGGCAATGCGCTCATACGCCTCGTCGTCGGCGTACTCGCTCTCCCAGCTCTTTAGCTTCGCCTTCTCATCATCGAGCGTTGGGGCGTCTGGTTTCTTCAGATCGGCAATCATCGCAAGGTTGCCCTTGATTTGCCCCAGCTCGTTCTCGTCGGTTTTGGCCTTCTCGAGCTTGGCTAAACCTTCCTCCACCTTGGCGAGGCGCTCCTGAAACTTAGCCGTCAGCTCTCGCCTCGCTTCCTTTTTTCGCACGCTTGACCTTGGCGTTAAACAAGGCATCTTTGGCCTCGATACGACTTTGAGCAACGCCACCTTGGCGCTTCTGGCTCTCCTAGCCTCCTCGAGGCGAATGACCGAGGCATAAACCTTGTCGACATCGGCACGAAGAACTATCTTCTCCTCTTCCAGCCTCGACACCCTGGTTATCGCCTCGTCCAGCTTCCCCTTCGCCGCCACGGTCTCGTTCCGAGCCTTGTCCAAGCGACGCTCGACCTTAGACAGGTCCGCCTCGTATTCATCCATTAGCTCGTTGATGGCCGCTACAAACTGCAAAGAATAATGCGCGTTAAAACACTTAGTGAGGATTCGATAAAATAAGGAGAGCAAACAGAACATACCTTGGTACCGCGCTGTGCCATCGCGCCATACGACCTCGGTCTCCTCAGCTTCTCGGGAGGAGGAAGACGCGTGTTCGCATTGTTAACACGTGCGAACATTATTGCCGAGGCGTCAGGGTTGTCGACGACCAGTTTGCGCGCAGCGGGATCACCGGGAGCCTGCTTGCGCTTCTTCTTGGACGGCTCGTCCTTTTGGATAGCAACGCCCTTCCCCTTATCAGCAGCCGAACGTTTTTGGCCAGAATCATGCTTCTGTACAACCGAAGTCAGCGGCTCGTCTCGCAGCTTCCTCTTCTTCGCGCATTTTCTTATCTCTAAGAGTAATGATCACCATTTTCTCCCTTGTGTCTAGCGAGGAATTTGAAGACGAAGAGCTAACAGGAACTTCGGCAAGACGGGCTCGTGCTCTTTCCACTCTCTCGAACGTAAAGTGCTTCCTCCAATTAACTCTCCGAGCCGCAAGAGAATCTCGGACAACAAAGAGGTCGTCGGGAATTGGGGGAAGAATGCTCCAAA